TCTAAAAAAAGAAGGGTTACCTTTAATTTTCTCTCACGGTACGCAACAGAATTTGATAATATATACACCACTAGATAGAGGAAGTCTTCCTCTACAAACCTACATATAGCCCGTTCTGTGGTCAAAAATCACCGTGAAATTTATAGTTGCCTCTAAATTGATTTGAGAAAGAACAACAAAACTTTTAGCATCTAGCTTAAATATAAGATTTGTTTCACGAACTCGCTATTGTATCAACCGAAACTTCTCAAAACAGATGCAAAGTTGTCCTAATTGACTTTTCAAGATCAAACAACATTATAGGGGACATACAAAACTAAGTGTGAGTTTGCAAAAAAAAAGTATTCCTTTTGAGACGTAGCCGTATCAACACTTATTTCCAATTGCCGTTTACCGGCGAGTACTCAATATTTTTCTGCTAGCTTGCCCAATTTCAATTCATGTATTCTATGATTGAGCTCTATTTTTCATTGCAATTTAGCTAAATTTGAGGTTTGGTTAGTATCGATTTTTTTCTTTAAATTAAACGATCGTAACATTGAATTCTTTATTTTTCTATTTGTTCTCTTTCTTTATTTCACTTCACTTCAGTTGGTCGATATTTCTACTGTTGTATTTGAATAAATTTTATTATGTCCAATAAAAATTGATTAAAGAAGAAGACTCATATAGAAAAGGAATAGCACAATGATTTGAACCAAATAACCACTTTTTGGCAGTAACATCGTGAGTTCTTTTTTAATTAGTTCAGTGGTCGGTTTTGTAGTGTTGCAAAGCTATACGATAAATTTATGGAATTAGCTTCGGCACGGTTTTAGTTACTCAAAACATTGAGAATGAACGAATAGTTGAAACATCCTAGCATTTAGCTGAAATTATTAATTAATGTATTGTGAGTGATTTTGATAAATCTATCGGTCTTTTCCAATCAGATAGAACATCTTAGCAGGAAAAGAAAGCATATTGTTGTTTTTAACAGAGGATTTAAATACTGGTGACATACGTATAAGTAGTTTGACTATATAAATGCCATTTTTTTCATTGATTGATCGTTGTCTCTAGGACCCTAATTATACTAATGTGATGTGATGGAATTATGTATGAAAGATGAAAATTAATAATCATCATACGAATAAACGATAGTATTTATTCCGCTTGATGAATAATAATCAAAATACAATCACACACATGCATGAATTCCATATTGTCACTATTAAGTATCCACGCGAGAGAGAGAGAAAGAGAAAGAAATAAAAGCTATGTAATCATTTTTTGTGTAAATAGTCGTTCATTAAACAACTGTCAATTGAAAACAATAAATTGATTGAAAACGTGAAAATACATTATTACTGTTTTTTCTAGATTTTTATTACGCGTACATGAATCCATTGTGGCATCATCTTCCAGTTGATCGTGCTAGTACACCCAAAATTTTATCTGATTTTCCTCGAACATCCACGCCAATCAAACTGTCAAAAAATTATCAAAGTCCAAAACGAAAGAAGAAACATTCACCATCAAAACAAATCTGTCGATCACCAAAGGATATTCGCGCGTCATCTACACAATGTAATGAACATAAACATCGAAAACAAAAGGAAAAACTTGATTTAAAATGTACAATAAATAATGATAAAATATTAAAAAAACGTAAAAGTCGTCGACGTCAACATTATGCTCGTGAATCAGAAACATTACCCTTTCATTTATATATACCATCACGTCTACATTATATAACGACGAGTACGACTAATTGTTATAGAAGAACTGATTCTTGTACTCAATATTCTATAGCAAAACAACAACCACTAGTAAAAATTTGGGTAGTGTAACTTTTTATGTACTTTTCTAGAAATAAATTTGATAGTTAAGTGAAAAAAGTTGTTTGTTTTCTCTATGTCACTCGATTGTCAATGTAATAATTCCTTCTGATTCAACGATTTCTGAAAATTTATTTGACTTATCAAACTTTTTCAGTATAATTTAAAATTTTATTTTTTGTAGGGATATATCAGTGGCAGATCCATGCTCTCACACATAGTTATAGTTATATATTCGATATATAACTGATAATTTCTGATAATGATAGGACTTTATTCAAGAATGTGTTCAAATAATTCTCTTTCTAAGCTTCATTCATTTTGCTTGTAAAATTTTTAAGTCACCGACTCATCATCAGTAAAGTTTTAAAAATATTTTTAAAACACGTGACAAGGCTATTCTTCTTACCCTTTTTTCTTCATCCTCTTTCTTAAATTGTATCTGGCAAAATAGTACGTACAATTCCGTAGTGTTATATCAGTTAGTTTTCTACTGTTGATGTTACCACAAGAAAGAAACATTTCATAGACTAAAAATGCACAGATAAATAATCTAATTACACATATGTTCATAAAGATTAAGACGCTGTTCAACTAATTCGAAAATGTATTTTTCTTAGCTTACATCTATTTTCTATCAGATTCAAACAAACAGACTGCGGTAATAGAATTTTAGGAGTCTAAGACAAGTAGATAGAAAGGGCATAATTATTCATTTTTGGAGCTGTAAAACTTTTCTTTTTGGTAGGCTA